CACCACCTCCATTTGTGTTTTTTTCAGTGCTGGGAACCAAACCCATGGAACGTGACAGGCAAATTCTCTTCCATGGAGTGCAGGGGCACTCTATTTTTATAAAGCATAGTGCTTTGTATTAATCTAATAAAATGCAGTGAAGCCAAGCATCCTTTTGGCCAGATGAGTTCACTTGCTCTGTGAAAAAAATAAAAAAGACCTTGTCTACATTGTTCTGCATGCTATTTCCCAAATCAGTTTAGTGCCTTTTTCTTAGTAATTCACCAACTGCTTTCTAAATATAGTGGGTTGAATGGTGGTCTCCCAAAACACATGCCAAATCCTAAACCCCAGAACATGTGAGTATTATCTTTAGGGAAGAGGGTTCTGATGGACATAAGTGGAAGATCTTGGGATGTTCATCTTAGATCCTCCAGTTGGGCCAAGTCTAACAGATGTCAACAGTCAGGCAGAAGGGAAAGGCAGGTTGACACAGACAGAAGAGGAGGAAACCATGTCACTCCGGAGACAGGGACTGTAATGAGCTGGCCAACTCATCTAGAAGTGCTCACAGCCACCAGTAACTGGAAGAGGCAAAGAAAGAACTCTGCCCAAGAGCCTCAGTGTGAGCACGGATCAGCTGACTTCTGATTTCAGACATCTGGCCTCCATGCCCAATCTGATCTGGACATTTATAGGAACAGAATCATACAATGTGTTTGTCTTTTAGGTCTAGCCATCTAAACAACATACTAACGTCTTTTAGGTTCTAACTACATGGTGTAGATTTATTGGGTAGCATAGCCTCCCACACATGTGTACTTTTAAGCTTAGTATGTCGGGAGTCACTTTAAACTCCATCATTGCTTGGGCATGTCTACAGGAGAATACTCCATAGGGTGGATGAGCCTTTGAATCTGGTCTTCTGTTTGGGGCATCCCGAGTGTACCAAGTACTATGCCTGGGGCACAGAGTGTCATGCAGAAGCCACAAATCCAATGAACAGCAATTGCCCCGACAGTGAGAAACCCTGATAAAGCTCAAATAAGCCAGGGCCCAACCCTCCTCTAGTTCCTACCCACAGTAGCAGCCTTGGAAATGCTGGTGCATGGTCAAATTGCGTTTTGAAATATATTTAGTACTTATTTGTCCAGCAGAGGCTTCAGACTAGAGTGCTGCAATGGACTTTTTACCTGGTGGAAACACGAGGGTCACGGAAAACCAGTTTTCACCAAGTAGTATGGTCCTGTTTATCAGGAAGCAGTTAGCATCCTCAGCCTTCTCCCCTCGCCGTGATAGTGGTGCCTACGATCCCAGCTAACCTATGATCACTAGCATCCACTGATGCTAAGAACTAGTGGCTAATTCTTCTCATACCGAAGAGCACTTCCACATACCTGGTCGGCTCTAGGGTCATATTCCTTCCCTTTCTTTCTTCCATCTTATTACCATGACTCCTCTCTAGTTGTTCTCCTGACAGTTATAAACCCGCTCAGTATTGTTACATGATTAAAAAGAAAAAGCAACACAAAGCATTTTTCGAATCTCTCCTCCCTGCTGGCCTGCAGTGCACTGGTGTCCCTCCACCTTGATTCTGCAGTATTTTCTTAATTGCTTTCCTTCCCTCCAACCATTCTTGAGATCCCCATTCTAGCTGTACCCTTGATATAAAGGTATCGGGAGACACAGAGGTCAGGTCCTATTTTTAAGAATGCTATATAAATAGAAGCATTCAGCCGCGCCGCTTGCTCGTCTATTGCTTCGTTCTGCGGCATTGTTCTGAGCTTTGCCTCTACTGTAAATATACGTCAACAGCTCCGGTTTTTTTGTTTTCTCTTGGTAGGGTTCAAGTGTATGGTGACTCCACATTTTACTCACCTTCTGGTGGAACTTGAGCTGTTTCCAGCTTGGGAGTATGATTCAAAAACACATGCAATGAACATTCACAGGCAAACCTTTGTGTGGCATAGTGTCTCATTTGTCTGGAGCTAATGGCTAGGGTGGTGTGGCTGGATCACATGATGAAAGTGTACCTAATGTCTTTAGAAACTGCCAGACTTTTCCAGAGTAGCTGCGCATTTGGATTTTCTCAGTGTCTGAGAAGAGCTTGAGGATGCTTTATCCCTGCTATTGCCTGAATATTTATTCTGACTTGCAGTTTTGAAAGTTTGCAATCTATAAACCCTGTCGTTTTGGCTTTAGGGTAGGTGAGGCAGCATATGCTGCTGGTAGAGGAAGCTGCTCACCTCATGATGGCCAGGAAGCAAAGAGAATGGGGAAAAACACAACAGAAGGACCTAACTTCCTCTCACTGGGCCCCACAGCCTAAGGCTCCATCAGTTCCCAATAGGACCCCACCTAGAGGGTGCACCCTCAGAGCTCTGTGGATAACTTTTTGTTAAAGGAGTTTTTGTTTGTTTGATTCTGTTGTATGTTTGGCGAGACTGTATGCTGCCCTTTTCCTACTCAAGGCCAAGCTGACACCAGGTTGTCCTAAGTAGCAGTTGCAGGGACAGAGCTCTACCCTGTGAGACAGCTCTTTATGTGTATCGTGAAGATTGTAGGTCTGTTTTCTCTGGTTTAAAGAGAGCTGTTTCTGTAGCCATTTTTATTCAGATTTTTTTTTAAGTTGGAAATAATGTGTAGGTGTGGCAATGTTTTTTACGTGAAGTAAACAATTGTCCTGATTCCAAACATCTTTGAGCATAGAGAGGAAAACAGAAATGAAGTCAAAGGGACTTATAAGGACTTCAAGGAAATTAAGTTTGGTCCAAGTGAGGGTTACCCAATCTCTCTTGATGTTATGATTTTAAGGCTTCCAGTCTGTGAGTCTTCTCAGTTATTTTGAGTCAGCTAGACTGTCGTTTATGTCTGATGTTTTGTGGACGTTGGTGAGGAAGGGGCAGAGTTGGAGTGTATTTAGGCGGCCTCCGAGAAACTCTTAGTAGTCGATAGTATTTGCCACCTCCCTAGATAATAGCTGGATGTTGTTTTACAGGTTCCCAGGGCGGGGGGCAGGTGGGGGGGGCATGAAAACAGTGGGTCTCCAGGAGAGTCGTTCTGGTAATAAGGGATGGTTAAGAGGCTGTGTTTCAGCCTCCATCCGTTGGAAATCACAGTGATGGGATTCAGAGCGATTGTCCCTGAGGGTTTACAGCCTGGGGATTTGGCCTGCTGCGCACCATGGCCTCTGCTGAGTTCTAACCCAGGCTCAGTGCCTCCTGTGGGGGATACAGCTCCAGATCAGCCTGCCTCTTGAAATGTGGAGAGAAAGCCCCAGAATGTGGAAATTCCTGGCAATCAGTTGGCTCATCCAAATAATTTTGAAATAGTCCTTCATAAGAGTTCCATTCCAAAGCAAGATGACCCCACCCACCAGAAGCTAAATGAGGCCGTGGTAACACGGATACTATTGCCATAGTTACCATGAGAAGGTTCATGACTAAAGCCATTGACACACTGACCTCTGCAGGAGACTCTTCTGCCAGAAAGAGGTCCTGAGCTCCCACAGTGACAAAGGTCTGAAGGGGAGGGAGGGAGGGAGGGAGGGAGGGAGGGAGGAAGGGAGGGAGGGAGGGAAGCAGAACACCTCAGGTGGAAGGAATGGAGAGAGGCAGGGAGGAAATAAAGAAGAAATGAAGGGGAGGGAGGAGGAAGAGAGGAAGGGAAAGGGACAGAGAGAGGCCCACTTCCGGTGGTTCAGTCTCTACCGACCCTCAGACCATGAGTTGCATTGCAAAAGTTGGACTTGGGCCGCCATGATGCTCCTGTCTCCTCTTTCAAAGATCATGGGGTGGCCACATAAAGCTCTTTGATCAAAAAAATGAGTCTGTGGTTAACAGCCTCATTCGTTCAGTTTTAGAGCGCATGAACAGCAAATCTTGGTTTCTAGGGTCTACTAAGAAAGGAAAAAAAAAAAAGATTGTGTGGGAGCTGGATGGACGGCTCAGCAGCTCAGTACACTGGCTGCTCCTGCGGAGGACCCGGGTTCTATTCCCAGCACCCATAGGGCAGCTCACAACCGTCAGTAACTCTAGCTTCAGGGAATCTCATGCCCTTTTCTAAACTTTGCAATCACCAAGCACATAGTACAGATGTATACATGCAAGAAAAACACTCATGTACATAAAATAAATATATCCAAAACAAAAAAAAATATTTTAAAACAATGAGGGAAATTTCTTTATTCAATGGTCATGAGGGGGGAACATCTTTGCACAAATTATAGGTTGACTTCTCATTGCTATCAGTCTCAAAATGCCCATACTATATTATTTTATAGCTTTCTAAGTGAAATTTAATTCTATCTGGCATCTTCCCTACATCTACCAGGAGTGACAATAGCTTTTTTAAAAAAAATGCAGCAGGGTGGTGGTGGCGCAGACCTTTAATCCCAGCACTCGAGAGGCAGAGGCTGGCGGATCTCTGTGAGTTCAAGCCCAGCCTGGGCTACAGAGTGAGATCCAGGACAGGAACCAAAACTACACAGAGAAACCCTGTCTCAAAAACCAAAAACAAAACAACAACAACAACAAAAATGCTAAGTGAAATGTTCTATAAGAACAGTTACTTCTGTGGTTAAATCTTAAAACTGTCTGATTGTTTAGAAGACAGTTACAGTGAGGGCATTTAAAGGTTACACGATCGTTGTCTGACTTGAGTATGAGGGCCATGTTGGTCCAGACCACTCCTGGGCTGGAGGTATCTTCAAACAGTAGTCTACAGCATGGATTCTGAAGACTCACCGTTTGGCTGACAGCGGCACCTGACATACACACACGGCACTCAAGTGTTTGTTAGGCATAAGACTGAGGGGCTGACATGCTGATAACGTGCTTGCTGTACATACACCAAGAGCCCAGTCTGGATCAGCTGTGCGCTATAAAACATCCCCAGTGAGTGTGGGGCAGTGAGAAGGGGACTCCAGGCAGCAGACTGGGAATGGCAGATAACAGAACAGTTTAGAGGTATAGTTATCATCCTTATTGGGTTATATTTATCTCGGCCCTTTGGTTTTACAGTTGGTGATGTACATTGGTCAGGTGGCCAAGGACATCCTGAAGTGGCCCCGGCCCTCGTCCCCTCCCGTGGTGAAACTCGAAAAGAGAGTGGTTGCAGAATACGGAATGCCCTCCACCCACGCCATGGCAGCCACTGCTATATCCTTCACCCTCCTCATCTCTACCATGGATAGGTACCAGGTAAGGTGGGGCCCATTCCTGTTCCTCCAGCACTCACCTCTGGTTGTAGAATGAGGAAGACAGGAGGCAGCAGTTCAGAATTTCTCTTCGAGCTGCTTTGAGGGACATCAAGATTTATGGGGTAAAAATGAAGGGAGTCTGAAAGCTTCAGGGATGTTGATAGTTTCTTCCTAAAGGGACCGTCTAATTTAGCACCCAGATCAGATTATGCCTCTGAGTGAGGATGGGCCCCGGAATGGGGAGCATAGTGTGACCTGCCTGGCATCATCCTCCCCACGAACTGTTTACTTGAAATGTTGCCTAGACAGACTTGCGACAGACACAAAGCATTTACGATCCTCATAAATGATCCTCCAGGGCAGAGATGATCCCACCAAATCCCTCTGCCAGACTCTCCTGGCCTGGGGCAGAAGAGAGTCGGGTACCCCAAATTACCTTCCAAGGATGACTCTGCCCCTGGTTAGGGACCAGTTATTAGGAATGATGCCCTGTTTTTTAGAACCATATAAATGACAGGAGATTAATAAATGTTGAAACTAGAAGAATTTCATTTAATATCTGCTCAGATGATAATTATAGTAAGAACTTTTCAAAGTTATGTGATTGCTGCGAGGAAGATTTTTTTTTTCTGTTATTGGAGACATGTCACTTTAACTTAGAGTTTAATTTCATAAGTTGTACTCACTAGCTGTTGGAAGTTTTAGATCTCATCGAATCTGGTGGTCTTATAGTAAATGGTAACAGTGGGTCACCCTGCTCTGTACCCCACAGATGCCCAGCTGTTCCATATTCCAAGGTTCTTCATTCAGCTGGCGTGGTTGGAAGAGGTCAGGACTGGATCAGATCTCAGCTCTAATCTTCTTCCCAACCACGTGGGCATAGATCTGTTTGCTCAGTCGGACAAAGACATTCATAAGGAATGTATCCAACTAGCTGTAACCACTGTGTGGTGACCTGTTCAAATGCCATGCCAGGACCCAAAAGTATCTGGGGTCCCCAGAACTGTCTGAGTTCATGTTGGCTTTTGAGTTGGGTTTCATGCACACTCTACTGCCCAGCAGGACACAGTAGGCCCAGGACCAACCCAGTATACAGTGTTCTTGGTACACAGCGAGATCTGTGAATATGCTGTCATTTAGGACAAAGATCAAGGACAGACCATCATAGTAGCAGGAGTGTGTATGGCCTTGGAGGGTTTTCACATCCTGATGGATGGGAGATACAGGGCAGATGAGAGATTTCATCTTTAATGGCATGCCTGAGTGACCTCAGTCCACCGGAGTGCTCCTCCTAACGTTTACACCACCAAAGTTTACATCAAATAGTCCAAGACTACAATGACCAAACATTCATCTGGTGGGGCATTTTTTGTTGAAACCAAAGCACACTCCTAGGTTCCAACTTGAATGCCATTCTAACCCACTGTGAGGAGAAGCTGGCTTCAGGAAGAGAGCAATCACCATTTAAAACCTCACTTCAAAATATTCCTGTTCCCTTTGTTTCCATAAGTACAAACATAAGTTCGTTCTGACATGGCCTCTGGTCATCGAGGCCATCTTGCCTACAAGTCCGAATGCCCCTTTAAAGTTATCCAATTCAATGTTCTTTCTGGCTTCCAGGATGTGGTAGTCACCCTAAGGCCTCAAGTGTGATTGCTCTCCTGCTTAGCTTTTCATGATAAACACACTCAGCTACTTGGGTTTATTTACTTGCTAATAGCTCTAAATGTGGATTTACTTATTTATTTGTGCAGTCAAGCTAACATCTGAATGCATAAACTTATTCACTTTAAATACTTGCTAATGCAAATCTGAGACTAAGTCAATGAAAAGTCTTTAAAGAGAAGCTGAGGAGACTTCAGGAGGATCAGATGTTTAAGGCCAGTCTGGACTACATAGTAAGATCTTGTCTCAAAAAAAAATATATAAATATATATAAATATATATATATATTTATATATATACACACATATATACAAATATATATATATATTTATATATACACACACACATATATATATATATATATACATATATATATATATATATAGATGTTTTCAACCAAGTATTACTAGACTCAGTATTACCTAGGAAAGAATAGAAAATAATGGCTCCTGGTGGAGCCAGGCTTCCTGATAATGGCTTCCTGAGCCACTGGCTGTGTGACTTTGTGCCCATTTCTCTGGCTCCTATTGTGAGGGCCAAATGTCATGACTGACAGGAAAGCATCCTGAGGTCAAGTTCAGTGTGGCCATGACTCACCCTCATGGCCATCATATTAGGCATCACCATTTGTACAACAGGCCTGACATGGAACCTACATCCTAGGGTCATGTGGAGACCTAACGACTGGGTGGATCAGTGCCGTGTCTGCTCTGTCAGATGCTGGTGTATCTGTTCATATTGCTATGGAAGAGCATGTTAGTAATCAAAGCAGGTACATTGTATGTCTATGACCTGGCTATAACAGCATCTGTGTTCCTTACGTGACTCAGCCTTAGCCAGACTCCATCAGCTACTCTTCCTGCCCCTGCAGACGCCGAATTCAACAGATGCTAGACAAATGCTGTGACATCTGTATGTCCATTCTTCAGCCTGTTGTTCCTGGGGCTTCTCAGAAGGAACAGTTATCTGTTGGGACTTCACACTATATAACGACAGCCATATACCTTACTTCCTAGTCAAGCTGTTTATTTCTCAGGTTCTGATTTAAAACAACCTGGTAGAGACTCTGTGAGGTGCCTACATGTTCAGCGACTTTCCCCAGTTGGTTGTGGGTGGCGTTGGTCCTGCCAGGATGTTTCCAAGACTATCTGGGTCCCCAGGAGACCTCGCTATATTCAGGTTTGTCAGGATACTTGGATGGGAAGGGGGTTGATGACCTTCATTGTTCATAAGATCAGGAATGATGATAAAAGAAGTAAACCTTTGAAAGGCTCCAGCCTGCACTTGCCCATGGCTGTCTATAACCACACCCTGACTCCATTCAAGATGACTTATCTCTGCCAAACTTCAGCAAGCCGTGTTAGATGGGAACATGGAACACTACTGTATCCTTGTCTAAGTACCAGTTACAATGTAGCATCAATAAATGTGTCTGAGGTGCACCTCTCCCTGTGGGCCCTAATCTCTGTCCTGCCCCAGGCTGCCCTCCTTAGGAAGCCTGAAGTACAAGGAGCATTCTATGTGGCCATAAGGGTTGCTCCTCAGGATGTAGGTGGTAACCCAGATTCAATAAATATTTTTTAAATGGTTAAAAAAATATGTAAAAGAAAAGTTATCTATTACACTCAAACTGCCAGCCCTAGTTCTTCTGTATATTACTTACATGTTTATATGTTGGGAAGCTTTCCCCCAGAACTGTATTTCTAGGCATTTTCTCCTTACCTGGCCTGATTTGAAAATGTTTTCAGATGATTAGATTGCTGGGTTAGGGAAGATAAGATTCAGATTCACAACCATGTACAATGAATCCCATTCCCAGCTGTGAGATCAAATCAGTTAAGTCTAACCTGAGTCTTAGCTACTCAGGAGGGCCAGATGAGAAAATCCCAAGTTCAAGCACAGCCACCAGTGACTTAGAGACTGCCTCACGGCAAAAAAATCAAATAGAAGGGGGCTAGTGGTAGAATGCCTACTTAGCTCTAAATCCAATCCCTAATGAAAATAACACACACACACACACACACACACACACACACACACACACACACACACACAGGGGAGGCGGGGCATTCATCTGAATATGATCTAATATCCTTCTTTTCTCTCCTCTTCTGCAGTACCCTTTTGCTTTGGGCCTGACAATGGCTGTTGTGTTCTCTACGTTGGTGTGTCTCAGCAGACTCTACACTGGAATGCACACGGTCCTGGTAAGGCTGTGGGGCAGGCCTTGGGACTGAACAGCATTGGTCCGAGTGTCTCTGTGTGCCTTAAGCTGCTTACTTCAGCTTGGTTCATCAGTGTCTCTCAGGAATCCGAGCCAGGAGGATCACAAGGTCTACGCAACAGAAGAATGTTATCTCAGGGTAAAAAGCAAAAAGAAGGCTGGAGATTGCAGCGTCCTATAGGGCTTGTGAGATGAGGCAATGAGGAAATCAAGAAATGGCAGATGTCCCTAGAGAAAGCTGGGATCCCATGAGCTGTGCTCACCCTGATGGGAGAGCACTTACTACACTCAGAGCACTTATCACATATCCCACAAGGAGGAGGAATTAGTCTCAGTGGGAGGTCTCTGTAGGGGAACCAGTTCATGGATGGGGGTGGGGGTGGGGGTGCAGTTTCATTGTCAACATCAGAGGAAAGCTTTGCTGTTTCCATGGGGTCCTTGACTTGACCATACCAATGTCCACAACACACATTCACCCAGGACTTCCCTGGCTCCTTACATATTCACTCAGGACTTCCTCTTCTCCCCATGAGAGCTATGGCTAAGTGACAGATCCCTTGTCTTCTGTGCTCAAGGCTCTTGGTCCAGTTCCTAGTACTGCGAACTCAATCACTCCATCAAGGAAAGTCTCAGAAAGAGGGGAAGGGGACTAGCAAAGGAAGTATTAAGATAAAGCCATGCCGACGGTGGTGGTGCACGACTGTAATCCCAGCACTCGGGAGGCAGAGGCAGGCGGATCTCTGTGAGTTCGAGGCCAGCCTGGTCTACTCTGCGAGATCCAGGAAAGGCACAAAGCTACACAGAGAAACCCTGTCTCAAAAAAAAAAAGATAAAGCCACACTTGGCAGGACACACCTAGAATCTTAGTACTTGGGAGATGGAGGCAGGTGCTTGAGGTTAGCCATACATACATAGTTCCAGGCAGGCTTGGGGGTACATGAGATTCCGGTTTAAAACAACAGAACGTATTAAAATAATGCCACCAGGGTGAAATGCATTAGGTACTGGAAGTGGTGACTGGGACAATATCTTACTGAAACAACTCAAGGGAGAAAATGTTTCTGCTGGTCTGTGATTTGTAAGAGTACACCACTCCATTGTAGCAGGGGAGATGTGGTAGTGTACATGGAGGCAGGAGTGTGTGGATGGGACCCCTCCACCTCACCCCACCCCACCCCAGCATACCAGGAATCAGAGAGAGGCTAGGCAAGAAGCAGGCTCAGGCTACCACCCTTATGGCTCTCTCCTCAGCGTCTTCTAAGAGGTTCCCCAGCTTCAGAAGATGGCACCACTAGCTGGAGACTCGGTGTGTAAGCACATGAACCTGGGGTGGGTGGTCCATACCCAGGCCATCATAAGGAGCTAGCTTCAGACATTGAAGACGGTCTAAGAGCAGCCAGGACTCAGGCAGTTTCTTATCAGGCTGGTTCACCACTGATACGGTAACCAGGGCAGAGCTGAGAGACGTCTCGTTGGTCCCACACAGGTCCTCACGGAGTTGACCTGAGATACAAGGGTCTCTGTTGTCCTCTGCTCGTCAGAAGGGCTGAAGCCACAGCTTCCCTTCTTTTTATAGCTTTCTAGGCTAGAGACGGTGGTAAATCAGAGTTACATAGGCATTGAGAAGTTGTCCCACCCTGCTACCATATTGCATATTTTCCCCCTCCAGGGTTGCCACAGGTAGTACGGTAAAAAGTCCTTGAGTATCCAGGGCCCAATGCCTCTTCCAGCCACAGAGCTGCAGAGCACAGAGCACAGTCAGGGTTTGCTACAGAGGCGCCGTTTCTCATTCCACTTTGTGTAAGAATGATGCCTTTAAAAACAAGCGGGCCTTTGATTATTGTGTTCATCTCAACTGTGAACCTGCAAGACGACATTCGCAAAAGGCCTTGTCAAGGAAGGCCATCTTCCCGGGGCCTTCTTGAGTTTCTCCCTGGTGCCGGGAGTGGGTTATCACGTAACAGTGGAAGGATGGCTCATCATGGCAGAATGTCAATGAGGACAACTGGAGGCATCAGATGAGGCAGGGGAGGCATACAACTAAGTGGGTAGGAGGCTGGGATGAGTCTGCTGTGGGCAAATGCTCGCCTAGCCTGTGCAAGCCCTTGTTTCCGTCACCAGTACTGAATAAACCTGGGTGGGGTGGTGCACAGCTGTGCCCCCAGCACTTGGAAGGTAGAGGCGGAAGGATCACAAGTTCAAGGTCGCCTTCAAGTTATATAGCAAGTTGGGAGGACACCCTAGGCCTCAAGTGACCATTTTAATGCAGTATTTCCAAATTAAAATCAATGCAGCTGTTTCCACGGTGAACAAAATAAAGCAGAAACGAAGACATCTGCCATATGTTTTCCCAGGTATACCCCGGCTAATCCAGCCCCCAGGCAGTTTACTGTTTGAGTGAAAGGGAGCCCAGATGTGAGAAATACCAAAGACGCCGTGAAGAGTCAGTGTTACTCTGCCTACCAAGACACCATTGCTGCTTCTCCGTCCTAGTGCACCCTGCTGCATCTGCTCGCTTCTTGGATGGCAGGGAGGGGAGGGGAGGCGAGCATTCTTAATTCGCCACACCACTTCTCCACATGACAAAGATGGTCCCTGCAAATCCCTTCCTAGACCTCAGTGTGGTGCTACCCAGGACTCTCCTGGGTGTTCTGGCATTTCTTTTATCTAGTGCTACTTTTTAATTTCCATAGGTTTCCATTTTGAAGGGAAAAAAAATAAAATCGATCTCAGGTTAAAATTAAAACCAAAGAAAACCCAGGAATGTGGAGCTCCAGACACACAGAGAGGAAAACACACACAAATCCACTCCAGTGAAACTCAGTTACATTCTTGTCTCTCTTCTTTTTAAGTGGCTTTTGGAGATGGAGAAGCAGATACTTGCGGGGAGATTGATTGGGCCTCTTATTTAGATGCAAGAATGGGCGGTAGCCATTCCTTGGGAAGGATGAGAATAGAGTGAAAAGCAAGGCATCTCCTCTCCTTCCTTGGCCTTGTTCCACTCCTGGAGCCCACTGGCTTTCTCACACTTGCAGTTCTGTCTCATGAAGATCTTGCACCCCCACGTTGACTCGGGCCCAGAGTACACATCAGGCTGCAGAACTAGAGCTGGCTCAGGAGGCCATGAGTCACGACATCCTGGCAGCGAAGGGGATCGCTGTTTGCGGTGTGGGATGGTGGGAAATTATAGGTTCCTGTAGCTCTTTATTCAGCAGCAACTCGATAATTCTGATGGGCGTCAGGCTTGGAACAAGATCTAGGGATCTCGAGGGGTGCAAACCCACCCACCCACTCTCCTGGGTCTCTGAGTCTACTGAAGGAGGCAGATGTACGCGCTGGAGATAACTTGGCTATAATTAGCAAGGCCCAGCTGGCAGGAGCCAACTGAGATAATGTGGTCTCTTCCCAGGACCCCTCAAAACAGTCTGCAGGAAGCAACACCAATGGTATCCCCACTCTTGCTGCCAATCCCACTGTTCCAATCCCACGGAAATCCTTTTCTCTCTTATTCTTCGACAGTTTCATACACATGGATAATACGTTTTAGTTGTTTTCGCCTCTGTCACTCCCGCCAACTGAAACCCTTCTTGTCCCCAAGAAGTCTCCTCTTACTTTCACGTCCTCTTTATGTGTGGCTCTCTGAATCTAATTAGCTGGAAGGTTATCTGCTGGAGCCCTGGACAACTGATCATTGGCTACACCACTGAAGAAACTGATCTCTGCTCCACCAGCAACCATTAACAGTCGGTAATCCCTCGGGAGGCGTGGCGCCTCTTGGGCCCCTCCATTATCCCATGGAAATCTTAAAAATACCTCTGGACATATCTACAGATATATATGTAGCTATGTAGATACCCACAGCCATAGCAGCATTAGTCACAACAGCAAAAGACAAAAAAAGGAGGAGGAGGAAGAGGAGGAGGAGGAAGAGGAGGAGGAGGAGGAGGAGGAG